TTATGGTTACCATGAGGCTTACAAAAAACATATTATAGTTATAATGAATTGTTTTAGATTAATAACAACCTAACTTTGGTATCTAAGGTATAAGAAAAAACCAAAGCCAATTCTATGCTTTGGTATCATCCCTCCAACCCCCACTTTTTGACATTTTGTTGTTTCAAGGTACATCTTTTAATACTACCTTTCTCTTAGACACTTGTTGCATATGTTAGTGTCTTGTTAGGTTTGTACTTTAGTTTTCATACTAAAGATGTAAGTGGTTTATTCACCACCTTTATGACATAGGAGTATTCTGAGGTCTGTGAACTTAACTTTAGTAATGAATTGTGTACCTTCAAATGTTGTCTTACTGCTCCTTAGTGTCATCTTCTTTCAGACTGAAGAGCTCTCTTTAACATTTCTTGTAATGCAGGTCTAGTGTTGATGTATTCCCTTAGCTTTTGTTTGTCTGGGAAAGTCTTTATTTCTCCTTTTGAAGATTAGTTTTTCCAGATACAGAATTCCTGGCTAACAGTTTGTTTCCTTCAGCACTCTGAATATATCATCCCATTCTCTTCTGGCCTGTAGGGTTTCTACTGATAAATCCTCTGAGGGATATATTGGGGTTCTGTTTAATATTATGTATTTCTTTTCTCTTGCTTCTTTCCTACCCTCTCTTTGTCTTTGGTTGTTGATGATTTGCTTATGATGTGCTGTAGGGTGTTCCTCCTTGGACTGAATTTGTCTGGTGACTTCTGAGCTTCCTGTACCTGGATGATGTCATCTTTCTGCATACCTGAGAAATTTTCAGCCATTATCTTCTTGAATATCCTTTCTATATCGCTTCCTTTTTCCTCTCCTTCACATATGCCAATTATGTGGAGGTTATTTTGCTTGAGGGTGTCCCATATTTGTTGTATTTCTGTTTCATTTTTTCTTATTCTTTTTTCTCTTTGCTCCTTTGATTGGATAATTTCATGTGTTTTATCTTTGAGCTCACTGATTCTTTCCTCTGATTAAGTCTGCTGTTGGAGCTTTCTATTGAGTTTTTCAATTCAGATAATGTATTCTTTATTTTTGGAATTTCTATGTGTTTTCTTTTTTAATTGATTCTGTTCCTTTGTGAAGTTTCTCATTCTGCTCCTGAATTATTTTCCAGATATCATTTAATTTTGTGACTCCTTGAACATCCTTAAGAGGATTATTCTGAATTCTCTGTTAGATATTTCATAGATCTGTTGTTCTTCTGCATCTGTTGCTGGTGCTTTGTTTCATTTGGTGGCAACATATTTCTTTGTTCTTTCTCAATCTTTGTGTCTTTACATTGATGCCTAGGCATTTGAGGAGACTACTGTTTGCTGCTGATTCTCTGGGGAAGGCGCTTTTTGTGTGAATCTTTAATCACTTCTGGGCCTTGGCTGTGTGGAAATTCTGGCCTAGGATGGAGTCTTTCCTGCATGTAGAGCCCCCTGCAGTTCTATTGCCACTGAGACCAGCTAACTGTGCTATGCCCAATGTTCCCCTGGCAGACCAGCCTTTCTCTTGCACTTCAATTGCTTCCCATGGGGCAAGCCACGATGCGTCCTAGTAACTCAGTGGCTTCTGGGCAGATCTTTTTTCCAGTTGGTTGCGGCTACCTGCTCCTATGCAGGCCCAAAGGAATCCTAGCAGTGGTTTTTATAGCCTGTGGGCTGGTATGGTGTGCTCCAAAGCCCTCTTCTCCCATTCATACTCCAAGCAGGTTTACATGAAGGGTGCTGTTGTAGCTTTCTTCAACTTCAATCCATGTGTAAGAGCTAGTCCCCACCTCTGTACCAGGCTGGCTCAGAACAATAGGTGCCATCCCTAACCCTCTCACCATTGCCTCTAGCACCTTCATGAACTCTGCAGGTCTCTTGTCCTCTTTCTCCTAGCTCTAGCAGTTCCAGGTTGGCAGGCTCTGCTTTTTAATAGTTGTTAATTGGTTACTTGTGGGAAAGTCAGATGCTCGGAATCATCTAGTCTGCCATCTTTTTTTTTTTTTTTTTTTGTCTTTTTTCGTGTCCGGCAACGGATCGCAACCCTCAGTGTCGCGCCCATACCGGACCGGGACCGGCAACGGGATCGCAACCCTCAGCGCTGCACCCGCACCTCGCTCAGCCAGTGAGCGGGAACCGGTCTATATGTGGGATCCGAACCCTCGGCGGGAGTGCTGCCGTGCTCCCAAGCGGCGCACTGTAGCAGTGCGCCACCGGGCCGGCCCCTAGTCTGACATCTTGATGATGTCACTTTCCTCTTTTTTTTCTCTTTTCAGTTTCTTTATATTTTGATTAAATGAATTGTAATGTTAATATAGTAAAATTTGTAAATTCTTTGGTTTTTGTTTAGTAGTTTGTTGTGTCTTTCTAAGGAATCATTCTCTACCCCACGCTTATCAAGGGATTCTCTGATATTCTTAAAGTTTTCAAGTTTTGCTTTTTATATGTATGTCTTTAATCTTCATAAAACTATCCTTTGTGTGTGGTATGAAATAGGGATCTATCTTTTTTTCCAATATGGATATCCAGTTGTCCTATTATCATTAGTTGAGTGGTCTTTTCCCTTTCTCTACTGTATATTTGGGCTTCACATTTGTATGACTCTGTTTTTTGAGTGCTCTCTGTTATATTCTGTAGGTCTATTTGTCTCCCTCTGCATCAGTACCGTACATTTTAAATTTCAATAATTATTTTTAGGAATCCAGTGAATCTTCAATTTAGTAACTAAGGGATCCACCATATACTTTATGATAATGAAGTTTTATAAAAGTATAAAGTTGCTTTGTATAGCCCCAAAGATTTTATTGAACACCTTTAGTATGTCAGGAAGCAACACCTTCAGTATGCCAGGAAGTGTACCAGGACTTGAGAATTTATGGGAATATAAGGCAGACAAAACTCCTTTCTCTCATGGAATTTAAGGTCTAGTGGAGGAAGGCTGACAGTAAATAAACAAATGATAGAATTTCAGGTAGTGACAAGAGCTACAATGAAAATCCTGTAGGGTAAGATGATAGAGTATAACTGTAGAGGGTGGTCACTAATCACAAAAAAATTGGTAAGTTGTGTTATATGAAAATTAAGTTAATAATCAAAAAGCACTATGAAGAAATAAAAGGGCTTTTCTGAAGAGATGACATTTGGCACAGGCAACAAATGAGAGGAGCCAATAATGTGAAGATCTGGGTAGGAATATTCCAGGTAGAAGAAACGAGAAACATACAGACCCTGGGATGAGGGCAAGATGGCATGTCTTGAGAAATACCGAGAAGGCCATTATGGCAGGAGCCAAATGAGTGACAGGAGAGTGATGGAGAGAATGGGGTTTGAAATATAAGCAGGTGCCAGACCCTGTTAAATCTTTAGGCCATGGATTTTATTCCAAGTATAATAAAAAGCCATTGAGGATATTTCTACATGGTGCAAATTTGATTTATGATTTTAAAAGATTACTTGAGCTTCTGTGTAGAAAATTTACTCTACACAGCAAGGAGCAAGATGGTAGGCCAGTAGAAATCTGCTAGAATAATCTAGTGGAAAGGTAATGGTGACTTAGATTAGGGTGATAGTTATGGAAGTGGAGAGAAGTAGTTAGATTCCAGATAAATTTTGAAGGTAAAATCTAAAGATTTCACAGATGAATTGGATGTGAGGTGTGACAGAAAGAAAAAAATCAAAGAATATATCTAATGTTTTTGGCCTGAGAAAGTCAGGGAAAAGGGGAGTGATGATGCCACTGACTGAGATGGGGAGGGGCAAGTCTGGAGGATAAGCAGCATCAAGAATTATGTTCTAGATGAATTTGAGATGCCTGTTAAATAATGAAGAAATGATTATAAGGCAGGCAGTTGGATATGTGGGTTTGAGTTTAGGGCTAGATATTATAGCTGGAGATAAGTTTAGAAGTCTGTATATAGATTTTTTTATTGTTGGCGGGGAAAATAATTTTTTATATCTTTACTGGGATGATAAGTGGAAACATCTTTGTATTTTTACTTTGAAATGTAAGGAGCTAATATATAATTTTGAAACTTTAGCACGGTGGAAAACATGTTAGCCCAATTTAATTTAAAAGATGTGATGATAAAAATGTGAATGTGAAGCAAGCTGAAAAACCTCGAGTGAAAACCAAATCATTCTTTCTTAAGAAGACACTAAACTTTTTGTAGGCTGAAAGCACAGAAACATAAAATAAAAGAGTTGGAGATCCTAGGGTACTGAGGACTTACTTATGATTTGCCCTATTCATTTATAGAGTATTTTCTCTTTTCCATCCTCCCTGAAACTGGGTATTGCTCTCCTGTATTAGTAGCTTAGCTAAATGGGTGAGAAGCAGCCTTGAAGCACTTTTTAAAATGCATTATTGGGCAGCAAACTTTTAAGAGACAGATTTTGAAACCAAATGGTCCTGAGTTAGAATCTTGCCTTTATTATGTACTGTCTAGGTAAGGGAGTCTCTGAACCTCAAGTTTCTCCATCTCGAAAACAGGAACCATACCTACTTTCCATGAAAAGTAGAAACTAGAATAGAAATTCTAGTGAATGTAAAATATTATTTTATACTGCTAATAATTTGTATTCACATTACTAATGAGGCTGAGTATCTTTTCATGTTTATTGACCATTTATATTTCTTCTCTGAAATTACTTTGTCTCTTGCTTATTGTTCTGTTGGCAAATATACAGAGTGCACAATGAAAGGTGCACAGTAAACCTTGTGGTGCCTTTCACCATTAGTTGGATATGTATTTTTATTTTCATAATGTCTATAATTTGTATATTTGACTCATGCATACCTGTCAGTCCCTTTTGGACTGATAGCAGAACAACATGAAAACAAAACAATTATGTGAATTTATTAAAGTATTGACTTGGTAAAATGCATATAACCACCTAGGCCATTTCCATCATAATTCCATTCTGTGTTATTAACTGTGCCACTATATTAATCTACAACTTCATTACTAATTCTTTTTCTCTTCTTTCTTTGAGCTGTTGTAGCAAACAGTGACGAATCTCAACTTCTGACACCAGGAAAGATGAGTCAGCGCCAAGGGAAAGAAGCTTATCCAACGCCAACCAAAGATTTGCATCAGCCATCTTTTATTCCAGCAAGTCCTCATAGCCAGGGTAAGAAGCTGTGGTTTTACTGTTTTGGATTCTTTTGTTTTGTTTTTGTTTATCAAAGACTTTTGTTTACTTTTTTACTTTTGTACCTTGTTTACTGTTGTTTTCTCTTGAGTTTTTGACTTTTTTCAAGAAACTGGACCAATGTTCAATAGAGCATTTGACTTTTGTTGGATCTGATTGCTTCTTTGCAGTATTGTTTAATTTGTTCCTAATCTTCTATATTTTCTGTAAACTGAAAGTTAAATGCAAGGCTAGATTGCACTCAGGATGAACATTTTTGGCAATAATGCTTTATAAGGGATGTATAGTACTTCATGCCGCATCTCATGAGAATTCACTTACTATCTGATTGTCCCTGTGTTAGTGATGTGAGATTGATCAGTAGGTTCAGGTGGTGACAGTCTGATCCTCTTCATTGGTAGTTGCATCTTTTCCTCCCTCATTACCTAAAAGTAGCATAGAGATAATATATTTGGCGCCCTGAAATATCTAGTTCACCATCAACTTTTTACCTAAACATGTCTGTGTCTCTTGATGATCATTAACTGAATTAGTTACAATATTAGGAGCTGAAAACTGTTGATTTTGTAATTCTGTCATTCTTTTTACATTTGCTAATGAACGTTTCTATAAAGAAAAGATCATCATCTTAGAGCTGTTTGATAAATGTTGAAATATTGTTCTTATAGTAAAGGCAGGATAAATTGATATTTGTTTTCTTCTAAGTACTAATTTTTATATTAAAGATATGATATAAAGTTTATTTCCAGTGGTGGCAAATATGTTTTTTTGCCTTTTGAGTTTTTCTAATATCATGAACTCATGCATTTTTATATAGTTATTATGTTTCAATCATTAGTAAAATGAAGATTATAGTATTTAGTATATAGGATTTTTATAAGGTTTAAAATTAGTTAATATGTGTAAAAGGCTTAGAACAGAGCCTGGTAGATGATAACCACTCATGATAGCTGATGAAATAAAAAAATAAATAATAAAAAATGAGTCTATTTGGGTTGAAGTCTGATATTTCAGCCTTGATTGTACTTCAGCATCTTCTAGAGGCTCATTTAGAACTTCTTTTAGTGTGTATGGCCCACATACAGCACTCTAATTTTTGCATTTCAGACAGCCACAGTGTTAGTTATATCTTGATTTGCACCTAAATGTTCCTGGGTAAGTTATGAATAAATTAATATTTGTAAAGTGAATTACATATGAGATGTCCTTCTTTGTTAAACCTTCTGGCTTTTTGTAAAGTAGAATATCTCCCTCTGGTTTATCTGCTAAAATTCTGTATCACAGTTTTCGGGTGCCAGAGGTTTGTTTAAAATAAGATATAACTATTAACTCTTGGTTATGATGAAGATAAACTGCTGGAGAAAAATAAGCAAATGTCTGGAAAACCTCTTTGATACATCTCCCATATCTCAAATACTCATGACCAGTATTTCACCTTCTGAATGGAAACAATCACAATTCTAAAAACTTACTGATAGTAATAATGAATAACAGTTAAAGCTCCTTATGTCTCGAAGTGCTTTTATATGCATTTGCTCATGGAATTCTTACAGGAACTTTATAGTATATAAATCATTATTCTCCTTGTTTTACAAATGAGGAAACTGAGCAGTTGGTAAGAGAAGTTTCCTTGCCCAAGTTTATACAGTTAGTATGTGATAGAGCTAGAATTTGAACGTAGATATGAGGGTACTACAAAAAGTTCATGGAAAGATTCATATTATCTTTTAATTCCACTTTTTCATGAACTTTTGAACTAGCCTCATATAACTTGAGCTTATTTATTTTTTTCAGTATGTACCAATTTAGTCATTTCATTTTTTGAGCCTTAAATTTTCTAAACTTTTGAGTTTTAAGAATTCTTTAATATATTTTAGTATCATCTTTTAATAGCTATATGTATTGTGAGTATTTTTTTTTTTTCAGTATGTACCAATTTAGTCATTTCATTTTTTGAGCCTTAAATTTTCTAAACTTTAACTCTGTCTCCCTTGTCTTTTGACATAATCCCACTGTATGTAAAATGCTTTGTTTGGAGATTGTTTTTTTAAATTTCTTTTGGGTAGTACCTAGGAGCACAATTGCTGAGTCACATGGTGAGTGTATGTTTTACTTTATAAGAAATGGCCAAATTGTTTTCCAAGGTGGTTGTACCGTTTTTACATTCCTGTTAGCAGCGTTAGTGGTCTAGTTGCTCTATATCCTTGACCATCTTTGTTTTGGCCATTCTAGTGTGTTTGTAGTGGTATCACACTGTGGTTTTAATTTGCATTTCTCTGGTGACTAATAACGTTGAGCATCATTTCATATGCTCATTGGCCACTTATATATCTTCTTTTGTGAAGTGTCAGTTCATATTTTTGTGCATTTAAAAAAAATTGGTTTGTTTGCATTACTGTTGAGTTTTAAGAATTCTTTAATATATTTTAGTATCATCTTTTAATAGCTATATGTATTGTGAGTATTTTTTTCCAGTTTTACCATGCCTTCCTTCTCTTAATGGTTTCTTTCAAAGAACAGATGCTTTTAATTTTGAAGAGGCCCAATTTATGAGTTTTTTCTTATGCTTCAAGCTTTGGACTTTTTTTCCTATTAAAGAAATGTTTGTCTACCTAAAGATGTGGAGAACATTTTCTGTGATTTCTTCTAGAAGTTTATAGTGTCAGGGCTCTGATTTCTCTCTTCGTTATCATTCTTACAATTGGCATCCTAGGTTAGGTCTTTGTCATTTCATACCTATATTGACTAAGTACCACAGCCTCCTAACTGCCATTGGGACTGTGCTCTCCAATATACCAGGTTCATCTTTCTTAACAAAATAACTAAATAAAAAATTATTGTTATGTATTAAGGTGAGAGATTATGATGGGATCAGGGTTTTTATAGATGTATATACCCAAAGAACACACGATCCTATGAAATAGATCTCTGAGGGAAATAATATGAATAAATAGAAATAAAAAATTGTAAATGAAAATATCAATTTTTATTATTCAAGCTTGTAACTGGAAAACTAGCTAGATGCCTGCATTTATGTTACTCTCATTATCAAAAAGGCAATAGCTTACTGTTGCCAAGAGCAGAGGCACCTAAGTCAGACTGTGTCTGAGAATTACTTGGGAGCTTTGCTTAGATACAGATTCTACTCTACCCTCTCAATATCTAGGGTGAGGCTCAGTAACCTGTGTGTTTATAAAGTTCTCCAAGTGTGTCTGATAATAGCAACATTTGAACCAGTGAGTAGAAACCAGCAGTTGAGAGTGTAAATTGCAGCTTCCATAGTCTGGTACTCAGAAGGCTCTTACAGTGTCTGATTTTACTCTATTCTTCTAATTTCATCTTGTGTTTCTCTTCATCATACACCCAGCTAGATGGCTTTCTTTATTGTTCCCCAGTGAGACTGTGCAATTATGTATCTTGGTCCTCCACTGTGAGATGTCCTTTTCCTTTCTCCCTGTGCATTCAAATACTTCTCATTCTTGAAGATGTAGTTTAAATCTCTTCTCCTTTATTGGATTTTCTTAGGTGATACTGTATCCCAATTTTCAAAATTCCAATATCACTGCTTTGGGGATTTCATAATGTGCTGCTGTTGTTATAATAGGCATGCTGGGTCTCCCCAACAATCAGCTTTGCAAATAGAGCTAGATGCCTCAATTATATGTTTAATAAGTGAGTGAATTAGAAAGAGAAAGGAATCAAACCGTATCAATACAGAAAGCCACCAAGCCTCAAGGATAAAACATTAAGAGAGGAAGAAAGGAACAAAGGATACATAAAACAATCAGAAAACCACCAACAAAATGACAGGAGTCAGACCTCACATATCAACAATAACCTTTAATGTAAGTGGGTTAAATGCTCCAATTAAAAGATATAGACTGGCTGATTGGATGACCCATCCATATGCTGCCTACAAGAAACACTACTTACCTACAAAAACACACACAGACTGAAAGTGAAGAGATGGAAAAAGTTATTTCATGCAAACAGAAAACAAAAGTGAGCAGAAGTAGCTATACTTAAAACAGACTTTAAATCAAAATCTATACTAAGAGTCAAGAAGGGCACTAACAGTGAAGGGATCAATACAGCAAGAGGATATAATAGTTATAAATATATATGCACCCAACACCAGAACACTCAGATATATAAAGTAAATATTGTCAGATCTAAAGGAAGAGATAGACACAAACTCAGTAACAGTTGGGGACTCTAACACCCACTCTCAGCATTGGACAGATCATTGAGACAGAAAATCACCAATAAAACATCAGATTTAAATGGCATCATTGACGAGATGGACCTAACAGACATATACAGATTATTTCATCTAACAGCTGCAGAATATACATTCTTTTCATCAGCCCATGGAACATTCTTTAGGATTAACCATATGTTAATCCACAAAATAAGCCTCAACAAGTTCAAAAAAATTGAAATCGTATCAAGTATTTTTTCTGACCATAATAGAATAAAACTAGATATCAGTAACAAGAAGAACCTGCAAAACATCACAAATATGTGACAATTAAACAACATGCTCTTGAACAACAAATGGGTCAAAGAAGAGATTAAGAAGGAAATTTTTTAAAAATTTGAAACTAATGGAAGACAGAAACAAAACAAACCAAAACCTATGGGATGCAGCCAAAGGAGTATTAACAGGAAAGTTTATAGCAATAAATGCCTACTTAAAAAAAATAGGAAGATTTCAAATAAACAGCCTAACAATGCACCTCAGGGAACTAAAAAGGCAAAACCAAACTCAACCCAAAACGAGTAGAAGAAAAGAAATAATAAAAATCAGAGCAGAAATAAATGCAATTGAGAATAAAAATACAATATAAAAAATCAATCAAACAAAAAGCTGGTTCTTTGAAAAGATAAATAAAATCAACAAACCATTAGCCAGACTAACCAAGAAAAAAAGAAAAAAGACCCAAATAAAATCAGACATGCAAAAGAGACATTACAGC